ATATTCTGTAAATGTAATAAGCAAATAATTCATGATGGCGTTATAATATTACTCAAAATATTTTTTCTTAGCACCCTCTTCACACACCATTATTATTCAGCGCTACTCTAGCGCTTCATGGAAAGGCCCTTCGCAACATTTCTTTTTATCATCTTTTATTCCCCTCCCTCTTTTCCCCAGCACAGGGTAGCCAGCCGGTCTAAGAACTGGCTAACCTCCCCGTCCTTCCACGTAAACTTTTCTCCTCCTCCTCCGCCGAGCTCGTAAAATTCGTTTACAATGACACACCCCCTGACGTGTTTTAGTGTTCCATACCTGCTTGCGTTCTCTGAGTCATTGTGGTGAAAATTTAAGTTGTGCCACGTGCGAAGTTGTGAGGTGCGTTTCATCGTGGGTGAAACTTTTGAGTATGCAGTGTTCAAAAGCCAGCGTGCCGATGCGACCAACATCCCTCGGTAGTTGCGGAAACAATGTACTCTGCCCGGCGACCCATGTCTCCTAGATAAGAAACATGGGCAACAGTTACGAATACTTTGCTTGCTAGACTTTCATGCATCATTATTGCTGTTATATTGGTATGGAAACATAAGATGCTGCGAGACGACTTACGTGCGTGAAATTCACGCTAGAGCTGCCGCGCATATGTTTCCTCGACATCACCACCCTTTCAGCTCGTCACGTATTGATTCGTTTATTAAGTCTCAACTACATGGCATTACGTACCTATAGACGTGCGAAGCTCGAAAAAAATTCTTTGGTGAGTTGAGTAATTTTTAAGAAACATTCAAATGCGTGAAAATAAAGAACCCACAGAAAAACGCACAAATAAATAGTGATGTCTTTCGGTGTGTTCTCTCTCTTTCACACTGCTTAGATCTTCACGATTCGTAAGGCCGTGTTGAAAACCGAAATCTTTTCTAATTGCTTATCATTTCGTGGTCATTCTTCTTTACCTTTTTATGCGTGTTAATGAATGTCCATTCAATTAGCACGAAAGTTCAACCTAGCATGCGTGCGCCGTTATAGGTTGCATCCACACAGCTCAGGTCATTCATAGGCTTTCATATCACTTTCTCTGACAGTTATTCATCATAGCAAAAAATCCTGCAAAACCTTCTGGCAACTTGCACATTTTTCAATGAATATGGCCTAGCTGGGCATCTGAATCACAATGCCTAGGTATCATGCGGCTTCACCAGACACTGTGTTAGCCAACGAGAAGAAACATATATTTTAAAAGCTCACGTTCTATTGCTAAGAACCAAATTGCGTGTAGTGCGAAGAAACAATCCTTTTTAAGTGTTCTCCGTACAACGTCCCAATATAGAAATACATTCCAGCCATCCATAGAGACATGCTCTGCCGACACTGGCTTTCGAAACATTAAGCAAATAGATCCCTATGGTAAAAAAACGCCTCTTTGTTCTAGTCACGTTTTAACGGGCACAATGCATGTGCAACTTAAAAAAGAACATTATAACTTTGATTCGTACGATCCCTCTTTTGCCGCTCTTCAAAACGTCTTCTTCTTGGTCTTCACTTTATATAAAACGATATAGAGAAACATTAAAAAACAGTTTCAATGAAATTCCTCGTCAAACACTTACGAAGGGAAATAAACAGATATTACAAAATAAATTTGGCACTAAGAAATCGAAAGTCCGAAGGAACCTTTCACAGAAAGCAACTGACAGCGTAACATAGCTCATCATTTGAGGTCCAAATAAAGGTTCTGCTGCAAAGCAGATGCCAGGATGATTTTGAGGAACACCCTTAGAAAACGACTCACGCTGATCCCGTCGAAAGAGAAACCTTGGCGCAACCTGTCTCAAAAATAGGTGTGGCAAGGCTAAACCTCTTCTTTTAATTAGGTTTAGAGAAAAATCTTGTAGCGGCTTCTCCGTTCATACCGAGACTGCCATATGAAAACAGTGAAAAGCCTATTAATCTTCTCAATTAATATTGATCCCGGAGCGCTTGCAACAAGTGCGTGGGCCAACCACGATACCGAGAACCCGTGGAATTTCGTCGCGCGAGCGGAGATCACGTCCTCCCCACTTCTGAGTCAGAACAGACAGCTTTTCGGTTGTTTCGGCCCATATAGGTCATCGTTTTTTCGATATTTGTCTAGCGGTCCACATAGGTATGTTATATATTAGCCTTTTTTGACCATATAATTCGTTCGTAGACTACTAGGTAACAGCCCACGGCGCACTTGCGTAGACCACAGTATGGCAAACTCGTCTGTCACAGCGCTATGGTCCCACATACTGAAGGCTCTACAAACGTGCGTTCCATATCGTACGATTTCGTCTCACAGTGCTTCAGGTCGGTGGGATGGCGTCGGCCTTCTCGGAGCTGTAGTGTGATATAATTTGTCCTTACTGTGGCCTGTACAATTAGCTGTTGCAACGCGTCGTTGGTATATGCATGTTGCTACGCGACCGTCTCACAAGGCGTGTTTTAAATGGGAGAAGTCCAATTTTATCCCTGCCCGAACGCACCGTGAAATGGCTAAGGTCCCTAGATGAAACCTTAGAAATGGCGACATTACAGCGCCCTCCCGTCGGCAGAGTGTATTACAAGCATAAACTCCATTGCCTGGCTCATAGCGCCCATTCACACCAAAAATAACTCTGAGACGCCAGCCTGATCGCCTGGCTGTAACACCGCGGTCCGCGCTTACGCTCACCTTAAGAAAAATATCACGGGCAGGCTACAGCGAATACACAAGGCCCGTTGCGTTTCCCTCTATTTCCCTTTGCTTCAGTAGCTCTAACACGCCGCGGAATGGCGACTTTAGCCCAAGGTCTGCGCCCGACTTACGACGCTCTCTAGGCTGTCACAAAACTTCCTCTTATTCTGCTGTCACCGTTTACCACAGCTACCACAATAGTTTGTTTAATTATTGATCATGGACGTTAGTTGATCATGGACGTTAGGCTTACCAACAAGCGTGAATATAGGTGCATCCAGGTTAAGCGCAAAGAGACATCGTGCAAACTCCATTCAACGTACAGTAAACATTCAACTGCTTCTGTACCGACACGTTTTACGCCCGCGTTATGAGAATTTCCATCTAGGGGGAATCTACTGTGCGTTTTCCTCTTCTTTTGCCTCATTTTATTATTCCGCTTGCTGCCTATTTTTCTTTCTAGTTTTATACATGCATTTGCTCACGTTACGTCAAGCGATGACAGCGCGAAAGAGAATACGCCAGTGCGGGTCTCTAAAGTGCACCGCACTTGATATCGTCATCGTGGTGTCATCAGGACGTAATGTCGTCTTTGGAAAAGAAGAGGAAGAATACTTGTCCTATATGCACGAACGCACGCTCAATATACTGCAGATGGTTATGATACGCTTGGTTTTGCAGCGTTACGCCAAGCTTCATGCGCGGATGACAGCATACGACAGCATGCGAAGCCGAGGCCCCTAAAGGGCTGCGCACTTGAAAAAACTAATCATCGACTGGAGTAGGATTCGAACCGAGGCCTTATGTGTTGCGAACCGGCGTTATATAACACAGGGAACTGAAAGTCTTTGGAATTGCTTCGGGAAACATCTACACACGAAAGCCATCTAGTGAGAGTAATATTGTTAACGCGTGTAATATTGGGCGTCAGATACGTATAGAGTTTGACCAGACGTCGTGAGAGGGTGGTTTAAAGGGCTACTCATGAAAAGGCGCTCAGACAAAATCGATCACTGTCAGCAGCGACAGCATCGACGAAGTGGGGAGATGCGCAGCTGCGCGTGTTCACTAGAGTTACTGTATACGCTACCCTTAGGTAAAAGGTAGCATATACAGTAACTCTAGTGTTTACCTACGGGACGCGTAGGTGTTGTGCCAATCAGCAAAAGGAAGAGGCGTGGTGAGCAATTTGCATATGTGGATGCAGCAGGTATTCTACTAGAGGTTAGTCTTCTTTTTTTTTTTCGCAGCATGGTTGAGGTGTTAACTGAGACGCGAAGCCAGGCTAACGACTTAGGAGGCAATGCGAACAGAGACCGATTACGCTGTTGCCTTCTACATAACCCGAATTTGACATATGCACACAGCGCCATCTTTCGTCGGTGACAGCGGTGGCCTGCCATAGCTGAAGGAGAAATGCGCGTAAAAAAAAATCATATCGGACAAAAAAAAAAGCTGCTTATCAAAAAGAACTTCCAGTTCTACATAGCAGAGACCTGATTAAATATTCTCTTAAATTACTGTGCCTCACCACAAACCACGTGGCTTCTCAGTGTGTTTAAATAGTCACGTGGCCTTGATGTTGATGAATGCAGCAGTCGGCGTGTAGACGATTAAACTCTTTATTTGGTCGAACTTGTGACCGTGAAACGAAACTCAAATTACACCCAGCAATGCACGCTGCACATTGATATCGGCGCACAAAGCGTCGGTCGTCGAAGAACTAACAAGTGGTGAAGCTTATCGGCATTTATACATGTACCGTCCAACATTCCAGCGTTATCGCTAGCTGCCACGTATGTCCCAGAAGAAACTGTAATGTTCGCGTTGCGTGCGTGATTGCATTGGAATGTTCTAAGATTATCGTGGTGGTTTTTAGTCATTCGGTGCTGTTTGCGCAATGCACCACTGAAATGGCCCGATAACAACAACTTGAGAAAGGAATGTGGCAATATTTTACAATGAGGCACCATGTATTTCGTAAGTCAGGTATTCAATTGTCTTAGCGAGCCACACGCTTCGTAAAGCGAAACTGAAATTTTGCCGAAGTACTTCAGAAGGTCTTTGCTGTATAGATCCGGGAGTCGTTCTTGAAAGCTAACTTATCTCAAAACAGATTTTTTTTTTTTCACCTATTTCCCATTTTCATGGCAGGATGCCGTTGCTGCCCTCGAGAGCTGGCACCACGAACAGATGTCCCCAAATCCTGGGAATGCTCGCGAAGACGAAGCTCAAAAGTCCACCAGATTCTTCCCCCCCCCCAACACTTGAAAGTAAACACTCACTAATCATCAGCGTCACTCACAATGGACGGTGAGGTGAACGGTGTTGCTACGCACACTGGCCAGTGGATTAGAGGCCTCGCATTCGTAGGGTCCCTCTTGGAAAGGTCGCACGCGACGCATGATGAGATACGGTCCGGTCACCAGGGGAGAAGACTGCCGCTGCTGCCCGGAGGACACCTCAGCCGTGGCGTTGCCTCTGGGTTCCAAAAGAACTCCGTTGTGGAACCACCGGAACACGTCCACGGCGGGGTTAGCCGAAGTTGCGCACTCCAGGTACACGTCACGTTCTTCCTGGATCACCGGCTCCGTCAGGCCACGACCCAACCGCAGCGTCACCTTGGGAACGACTGCGACGGGACAGAAGGCTTCGTAAGAAGACGCTCACTTCGGCCGTCCACCGAGGAGAGGTGGACATATCGAGCAGGGACAGCTTTCAGTTATGCACAGCTCAGAGCTGAAATATATAGGCAGAAGAGATATGAAGGGTTTTTTGTGCACCGTTACCTGCACTGTATGTATGTATGTATGTATGTATGTATGTATGTATGTATGTATGTATGTATGTATGTATGTATGTATGTATGTATGTATGTATGTATGTATGTATGTATGCATGTATGCATGTATGCATATATGTATGTATGTATGTATGTATGTATGTAGTATGTATGTATGTATGTATGTATGTATGTATGTATGTATGTATTGTATTTGAGTCGTATAATAACCACTGAGTAGACCCATGAACGATATACAGGCATGGCGCCTACAACTCCGTTACCCATCTCCCGCCCTGCTGCATGGTATTTAACGCAGATGAATATATCAAAATATTGAGGCTTACCTGATTTAAGGCTATTGAGGCTCACCTACATACTCATTCTATCACCACTTGCGGTAACCGCTACACTGCAAAATTCATTAGAATTGCTGTCTTTTATTTACCGCAATCATTGTATAAAGGGAGTGACTAACTCGTCATTTTCCGTAGCTGTAATGTAACGAAACGCACATATGAACAGCACTCTTATCTCATTGAAGGCAACATCCATCTCGCTTTAAAAGCACGTGGGTGCATTTTCTCGAAGTTGGCACAAATACTAAGGTCTAGAAAGTGCAAGGCGCATATAAAGTAAATATAACAAGCGTCTAGTAGGATGAGCCTATACCTTTTGCGTCAAGTACGAAAGACGCAACGAAAAAAATCTCGTCTTAGAAATTTAAGAGTACCATGACGAGATGCTGAGTCGAGCTTGAACTATTGAGCACCAAACCACTTTATGTGCTTATTTTTATTATATATTTTTCAGGCTGGGGGTAGGGGGGTTCTTACAATTTTCTTTTATTTTATTGTTGCTTTCAATGTTCTTGTTTTTACGTGTCTTAGAGCTCACGCTTTCATGCACCATCTCATGGATGTTGGAAGGACCCTTAGCCGGAAACTCGGCAAGCACGTTTCATTTTTTTTGTAATATCTTTGTTTTAAAATAGAATATAACATGCAGGTACTTCGAAACAAAGAAATTCTTGAGGCTAAAAGAAAAAAAGAGAGAGAGAAAAAATAGGGGCATTGCAGTTACAAACTACGTTACGCATGAAGTGACTTGTTAGTGTTCCTTTAAATTTTCCTCCTTCTTTTTCTTCCTGTGACAATAAGCACCCTGCCCCTAGTATAGGCCTGATGACCTCATCGAAGTCTTAATAATAATATAATAAATAATACAATGATATCAACAATGAAAGAACGAATCAGGTCAAGCTGCACTCAAAGGCCCCGTAAAGACATGGAAAAATGGATGATCGGGAATTAAAGAACAAAAGCGCGTCGAATAAATCTACCATGCTTCTCCAATTTACCTAGTGCTGTGCTTGCTGCGACCACATTATCCCCGGGTATACACCTCAATCTCATTCTGGCTACCCAAGTTGGCATGTTTGCCTTCTTTTGAAATCCATTGCGTTACTCTTAATGACCAGCGGTATCTCGGCTTATCGCAACGTGTCCTGCCTGTGTGCATCTCTGTATGACTTTAATTATAGGGTGTCCTCAACACTATAGTTCGTTCACTGAACCATTCTACTCTCATCCTGCCCCGTATCATTGCTACGCAACCCACTGTAACAATATTACACCTATCCTTCCACTTTTCGTGGCTCGGTACGTCGTCCTCAATTTCAGTTGAACCCATTTCTTTAGATTCCAGGTTTCAAACCAGTCGGTAAGCACAGCTAACGTGCTCATACATTTTCCTCGGCTTCCCATACGGATAAATTTAATAAAGAAAGAACGCGCCCTCGTATGTGCGTCAAGTGACCACAACAAACTCACATAGCACGTCGATCATCCAAGTCGCCTCGAGGACATCATGCGGCCACCGCGGGTTGGCGGCCACACAACGCACGGTCCGGCCGTCGTCGTCAGCCGTGGGCGTGAGCAGGAGAACGCTGAAGCTGTCGTTGCCGCTGTCCGAGTCCTCGTGAAAGAAAGGCTCGGCGCGGACGCCGTCCAGCCACCAGCTCAGCTGAGCCGCCGGCCGGGACCCGAGGGCGCGGCAATGGAACTCCGCCGGAAGCCCGGCCCGCGAGGTGTTCTGCACGCTCCACAGCCTCACCGACAGTGGTCGCACTGCGGCCACGTCGAAGTTGGCGTTCAGTTATTAGAGAGTTTTAGTACTGCGGAATGGTGGTACGTACGCATCACGCAAGCGCCTTGCGTTACCTGGCGTCGTTTGCCACTGATCGGCTTTTAGTACGCCGTAGTACCCGCGTACGTAACAAGCGTGAAGCGTGTTGCGCCATCTGGTAGATCAAAATAGAAGCACGTGTTTTTGACAGCCAATGTGAGCCAATCCAAGTGTTATAGCCAGATTATGGCCATAACATAGCCACAGAGCCGGTCGGTACTTGCCTTCGATGCCGCCATTTTGCAAAACGAAGTCTCGCACTGTCGCGAACTTGTCCGAGAGCGGCGCGGTCACCTCATACGTACGCACGCACGCGTCTCATGCGTGCGTACGTAGCGGCTGCGTACGTAATGCGATACGTGCGCGTTGCGGTCTGCGCATGCGCACTACGCAGAACGTGACGTCCTTACGTACGCAACGCCGCCACGTACGCAGCGTACGCAGTACTAAAACTCTCTATTGTGAAGAAACAAAGGTGTGCAGATAGCTTGCTGCTGTAAGGAACCAAACCTACGACCATCGGACAATACGCCCGACGCACTACCAACTAAGCTAGGCAGCACTTCACCTAATGAGATATATATGTGCATTTAAACGGGGGAGTGCTTGTCAACGCCACCAGTAGCCATGCCGACAACACTGCCAGTTGGCGTCCCGTCGCAACCATGTCACGTAATCGCTCATGTAGTCTCCTATTGGCGCATTCAGACGACGGACCGAATCCGGATGTGGCGAGACGAACGGCGCGTCACGTGACCTTACATCAGCGATTCCCCTCGTCCGCGACTCGTCCGCGCGGCTTGCGGACGGATGAACCCAACCTGTTTCTCACATCGGGATTCTGGAGGGAGAAAGCCGATACTTCAGCGGGTTAGCTCGGGGTTTCTGGCAACCAATACACTTTTCGTCTGCTCGCGGCAATGTCCTCCATGGCTCGCGGACAGTTGCATGACTGGTCGGCATCATCTACGCTTGAGCAAGGTTTACTTAGTTTCCGGGGGCTTTGTTCTCAGGTGAATAAATACGCAGAAATCACTTTTGGTGGTTCGGGAAATGTCGCCGCCGTCGTGTGACACGCGAGATTCTTAACCTTCATGGTGGTGCAATATTGTAACTTCTGCAACCGGCGACGTGCCGCTTCTAAAAATGATGAGAGATGCGTTCAGAAGTTCTACAAGTGGGAAACAATGTAGTTGAAAGAACATTCTGCCAGCAACTCCCTTTTCTCCTGAAAGAATAACACTCCTTGTTCATTTGTCACAATGCGACAGACATCGCCGTCAAGCGTCGCTTCTTGCGGGCATCCATGTTGAATATTCTCAAACCTGTCTGCTTTCAGCGGGCGCAGGTGAGCGCCGAACCTGCTGTCGAGGCTAATCCGGCTGTTTTCTCCTAGGACACCGTCCGTAGTGTGGATGCGCCTGCAAGCGGATCATCCGCGGATTAGCCGTCCGCGTCCACGACAAATCCGGATTCGGTCCGTCGTCTGAATGCACCATATAGTGATTATCGGTCAGCTGCCAGCTCGTAAGCGTGTATCCACGCGATGGACATATCCGCACAAATCTCTTCCGTAGACGATCGACGTACCGCCACCCGTCCGCCTGCGAAGTACATCCAGACGACGGACGAAGCGAGCAGACGGACGCGTTCTAGAAAAAAAAACATGGCGGCAGTGTTTGAAGCGAGAGCTGCCCGCTTTGAATCTTTAAGCTCTTTGTCGCGCATTGGGTGGGCTGTTATTCCCAAACTTATGGTTGTGTCGGCTTTAGGTATGGGCCCTCAAGCTTCGGTGGCAACGTATACGTGAGAATTCGGTACTGTTTTCGGGCGCCGTACTCGTTTTCTGAGAGCTGTAGGCTTAGCGAGTGCCGCCATTGGCAGAACATGAGCTCGGTGATCTGCGATAGCGCGAGTGCTATACCATATCTTAGGGTTCATAATAATGCGCGAATGCTTCCTTAATCCTATTTTCTCTAGATGGTGCGATCAGCCACTTCGTCGGCTCAATTTACGAAACCAAACGAGAAAAATAAAAATTGGTGCTTGTTGCCAGACTTGTAGTGGCGCCCTCAGCTAAATTTGTTATGTTATTCCGCGTGAATCTGATGGGGAAAAAGAGCTTGGCATTTTCCGTCCACGATGTCCGCGGACCTGGCACGGATTGCAGAAACCGTGACTTGGGGTCACGTGATGAGCCGTCCGCTGCGAAAAGGACGGATTGGGTCTGTCGTGTGGATCCACGCTTATTAAGGTCACGCGCTACACGACACCAACAGGCAGAACAGGAGTGATACACACGCCATCGTGGCTACAAGCGGCGCTTATTACCACTCCCAGGTTTAAACACGCACATATACACCATTATATACACAGGCGATGAGCACCACCGTATATAGGCCCGTTGGTGGTGCATCGAACGAGTTATTTGAATGTCGCTGGTTACGTTCCTGCCAGCGGCAGCTTATCTTTTCATACAAGCATTTACATTACAATCAATACTAATAACAGCCCCTATAATTTCCTCGGCGTCATTGTTTATTAGCTTTCAATAATATATTGTGTCGAACAAAGAAAAGCGGGTCTTAAAATTTTCGCTTATTTTGGAAGAGGTGTTCGCTTCCTAACAAACATTATTTGCCGACGTTTCAATCACAGCCGACAAATTGAGATTTTTGGAAGAGTACTCTTGTTTCCTATTCTATTTGTTTAGGGCAGTACGGCATCCGAAGACAAACTTATCACAATATACTCATCCAATATAGTGTGATCATAATCACGATATATATATATATATATATATATATATATATATATATATATATATATATATGATTCAAAAAAGAAATTCTGTGGGTGGCCTTCGTCAGGATCCTGACGAAGGCCGTGCCACGGCCGAAACCTAGAGTAAACAATTATCAAATTTTCGTAAGTGTGCTCCTTTATTCTTAATTATATATATATATATATATATATATATATATATTATATATATATATATATATATATATATATATATATATATATATATATATATATATATATGACGTATGAAGCGATGATTGGTAGAAGCCGAGAGGGAAAGAAGTGAGATTAGAATAAACATGGCGTATGAGCCGGGCCACGTCTCCCAGTCATCGTAGCGTCACACAAGTCGACAAGATAAAGACCTCGCAACCACTTCATCGCCCGGCCATCATCATCGAAGACCTCAGCGAGACGCAGTGACCGAACGCGGACCACCAAGACCACCAAGCATCATGACAGCAGCATCAGAAGACCTTGACATCCGTAAGTACACCGGATCAGCGGACGACGGACCCGTACAGGACTGGTTCAACCTGTTCGAGCTCCATGCCACCGCTGCATCATGGTCGGAACGGGAGATGATCATCAACTTCACTGACTACATCTCAGGTGAGGCATTCAAATTTTACCTCACCCACATCTTCGAGAACGATGAGTCTTGGAAAAAGATCAAAGAAGAAATGATTACCCAACTCAAAGAATATGATGAAGACCTGTACATACCTCATCAGCTGAAGTCTCTTCAACTCAGCCATCACAGTTACGCGAAGTCCTCCCGCAGTCAGCGTATTTCCCAAACAAGACTTCAGAGTAAATATTCCACCATTGTACCATCGTATGACTCGTCCAAATACACTTCACGCATTACAACACCAACTAGGGACTTGCACGTCGCAGCAGAGAAGGTAATACCACCGTATGCCGATAGGAATGTAGACCATTTTGCCAAAAGACCGGACTTACGGTTGGATTTTTCACGGGCAAATAAATCGGCATTTCCAATGTATTTACGGCACCATAATACTTCAGGTATTACTGAACAACCCGAATCACTTGATGCTTCGTGTCGCACACATGGCCCACACGGCTTCGGAAGCGTGACGGCATTTACGCACGACGAGTTAATAAATCCACATAAAACCAAACCAGACAACGAACGTTCACAGAAACATCATTCGTTCAAAGTATTCAGCTCAGCATTTCCATCTCCTGTCATCAACTTTACTGATAAACCTGATGAAGCACCTCACAAGATCGTAGCATTTACGCATGACGAGTTAGTAAATCCGCACGAAACCAACCCCAGACAACGAATGTTCACAGGAATCTCATTTGTTCAAAGTATTCAGTTCAGCAGTTCCACAGAGACAGGAGCATTCACAATCAGCATCTTGCGAAGAAAAGTGTTCTGCAGAAGCGTCGAGTGTTCATCAATCACAAGATCGAAGCGACGTGAATCCAGTATACAACCTCACTGCATATAATGAAAACAAAACCGCAGGTGCGACTTCTGATGACAAAAGTACGCTTCAGGCAACGACCAACAATGAACGGTTTATAAATACAGAAGATTCAAGTGCATCAAACCCGCCACATTATCTTGCGCCGGAAACAGTTGCATTGGTTGGCGTCGTAGAAGCCTGCGGAGGACTTGCTAAGAATCCTGGCGCAACACGATCAATGTCACACCGCAAGCAAGTTGACGAAACGAAGAAATTACAACGTCAACGCATACTTCAACATTGTCAACGGCGAAACAAAACTTCATCGAGTGCACTCTTAAGGCTTGAAAAACATTGCAAAAAGGCCCATCGTGGTGGATACATTCTCCACCAAAGATCAAGAATGTGCCTTCCATCAAACCATCTGCGAAGTTCGCCATAGAAAAATTTCCAAAAGCCACAAAAGCACCCCTTGTACTCAGCAGAAACACAGGCAGCGCCCAATCAACCTCGATCAACGCGCACGCAAGCTGCCTGCACGACTTGTGCCACGACGAAGAATTCGATGCCTACGATATCTGAACTGTCCATTCTGCAAGGTGTTCGAACCTCGTTTGTTCTTCACAAGAATGCCGGCTGCGATTTCCGCTATCTCCACGTCCAAAGCATTCTTGTGTTATCCAGGACGCAACCATCAGCCTCGCCCACCAGAACTCCTGCGTTAACCGGACTGCTGCACTCTTTCCTGAAGTTTTGCGAGTTTACGGAACACCACGGGGCCATGAAACCAATTGTGCATTTTGACATTTGTGACTTCTCCACCTCTCCTTGTGTATTTTTCCTTGTTCGTAATCCATGCCTTCTTTCGGGGGGAGGGGGAATCGTGTGACGTATGAAGCGATGATTAACAGAAGCCGAGAGGGAAGAAGTGAGATTAGAATAAACATGGAGTATGAGCCGGGCCACGTCACCCAGTCATCATAGCGTCATACATATATATATATATATATATATATATATATATAGTGGCCTCCCACCACTGCCACCAGTTGATGCAGTCGGGGGTATGCCGAGAGGACCGGAGCCAGCCAACGTCCTCGGGGAGATGTCCAGGAGAAAAGCCTGGAGCTGTTAACAGTAGCTTTTAACTATAATATTTACATTTTTAAGGTAGCGTGATTACATGATAAGGGCAACATCATGGAAGCTTGTTGCGAGCTTCTGGGAGCTCTGGTCTTTCCAGGATTCTTTGCAGGGCAGTACAATGAAACTGCCGTTTTTACCTCCGCCCCAAGAAGAGAAGGTGAAACACCGCCTCCTTCTCAACCCACGAGAGAGGGAAGAGGCACGCCCCGTTCGTCCCACAGCGAGGGTGAAAATACTACATGATACAGCACAGCGCAAGGACGTCGGGTCGTACATGCACATCCACTGTTTGGTCCGTTGCAGTGATCAGTGTGAGGCGCCAGGCAGGCCGAGGTTTATGAAAAACGGCGGCATAAAGGCACCACGAAGAACGTGGGAAATGCACCCGAACACGGATCCAAGACGCTTGACTTTTTGTCCGGTGCAACGCAGAGATGACCACCTTAACTAAAGCCAATTTGACTGCATCATCCCTTCTTAGGGACATCTCCAAAGAGTTTTACGAAAGATGACGATTGCGCCGCGAAATTCGAAGTACTGCTGTCGTGTTGTCCTCGATTTTTGTACATCTCTGGGGGTGCTGACCCAAAACAAATCAGGGTAGGCTCAGCCACAACGTCTCATTCGTCCAAGCAGCGCCAAGTTAGACAGGCTGATCATAGCAACTTATAACGCCTCGCGTGATATTTAAAAACAAAACAAACATAGGTTGACTGAAGGTCTCAAGGACACCGCGTAGCAAGAATGAACTTACGATTCATGTCAATGACGAAAGAACTGTTCGTGGGTTCTGGCATTTCTTGCACGCTGCAAACAAAGGTGCCCAGAAGAATCTCCCTGCCTAACGATTCTATGGAAAGAGTGCTTCGTGTGACGTTGCCTACGCGAATGCTCTGCTCTTTCGCCTGCAGGCGTTGGTAACCACTCCCGGACCAGACAAGTTTCGGCTGAGGCTCACCTGCACAGGAAATGCAAGAGTTGAGTTAGAGAAAAAAAAAGATAGCAGAGCAATTTGTGGCGCTCCTAATGGCCCCATCACTATATCTTTCAGCACCAAGTAAATAAATTAAGTTCGAAGAGAATTTCGTAGCGGTACTACACAGCTGAAGACATGCCACTCAAGTTGTGAAAAGTGAGTGAGTGAGTTAGTGAGTGAGCCCACAAACTCTTGATTAAGAAAACTATGAATGCAAAATGACACCGAGTTCATACGCCTTTCTTTATGCAGTTTTTCACTGGTCAATCCGAAGTAGAATTTTGCGCTATTCGTATATTGTTCTTATATAATTGGAACATCTTGAGTGGGTTCGCGTGATCCACTGATAGTTTTAGAGCAACACGCTTCGCGCCGGATTACTCTCACTTACTCCGCCACTACGACACTGATTCAGGCGCAAATGTGTCACGAACGACACGCTACTCCCTCAATTCTGTGAGCAACCTTGATCGCACTTTTCAGTTGCGAGGAAAGTTGTCCTGGAAACATACAAAGCGGAGTTAGGAATAGTTTCCGGAATTATTTTACGGGACGTGTTCATAAAGAGCTCCCGGTGTAATCAGCGGAGCATTCCTACGTGCCGCTGGCAAATTTGATTCGAGTGCTTGCTGCAGGATTTTCGGGACCACTCTAAATCTCCCAATGAAAAAATGCCGTTAGTACAGTTGCCACGGGTTGGACCCCCGACTATACTGTAGAAGCTTTCTGTGCGGGTATTAAAGTGCTATTTTTCAATTTGGGATTTCTCGTAAGAGAGAGGAGTGAGAGAGAGGGTGGCCAGGCAAAAGGAAAGGCGGTACGACGAAGCGTAACGAAATATTGCCAGCAAGAATAATAGACCAATTACATGTCATGTCGCACACGCGGAGCTTGGAGAGTGCGGAAAATATGAAGTCCGTGTTGGATATTTGTGACGTAGCGTAAAATCATGCACGCGCGCCTAGCTGGTCGGGAGCCGACCCTAGCTCTTCTGCTGCATATATACCGTGAGATACGTGCACGTATAGCGAATAGCTTCAAACGCGAATTGGACAGATACTCGGATGGTGATGTTAAAATTAGGTGAAGAGGCGTTTCCGTGATGCACTGCCGCTACCGTCCAACGCCGACTGTTATCCCTCCCACCAGGCGTCTATTTTTGCAATGCGCAAAGTATATAACACAAATAGCAGACTGATTTTGCAGCGCCCGTTGCAGCCCTCACGCGCAGCCGAAACCCTAGCCGTTTTCCAAGTGCGGAGCGATTCAGGACGCCGCGGGATGTCGCACGCTGTCGTCGTCGACTGGCGTAACATGCGTAGCATACTGAGCGTGCGCTTGCGCCAAGTGTTCCTCTTTGTGTTCTTAGAGCGCCATTATAATGATCATTTGTCGTCATTAACAAACAAACAACTAGTGCTCATGGCATAACGCCGGCAAAAACCACGTATCAAAACGGGAAAAAATTAAAAGGAAGCATGCGCGATATAAAAAGAGAGAGAAAAGGGGGGCGAAATATCGAAAGAGCAGGAAAGAGCACAAAAGCCGATGGGGAGAGCGCAAGAAATGAAGAGGGATAAAAGAAAAGAAAGAGAAAGCTGAAGGTAAACAAAGGAGCCTTCCATCAGGCTTGGTGCGCGGCTGCCTTAATTTTTGAAATCATATTTTGCTGTAATCTCAATTTATGTAACCCATGCACACACAAGGCAACGAAAAGACGGCATTTTTCGCAGAGGTGCATAGAGCCCAATGCCACACTTCAGTTTGTCATATGCACCTTGTACTGGCTATAGCAACCCGTTATACGCAATCAACAGCAGGTGTTTCTTTTTTTAAGTGTGAATACACTTTATAAGCGACCCCAAACCATCCACCGCCGTCGGCGGCGTCCGCAGTCTTCTCTCTATCTTTAAAAGAAAGAGGACTTGGCGGGCCGCAGCGCGACGCTCTACCGAATAAGCCACGGACGCGACGCTGATATCGGTGTCAGTAACGCGCCTTATACCCCCTCCCCCTTCGCTCGCTCCTCCGCTCTCCTCGCTCGCTGCAGCTGCGCGCGCACCCCTCTCTCTCGCGCGCCCGCCTTCTCTCTCAGTCTCCCGTCGAGAGCGGGTCGTGAGGGGGAGTAAAGTTAAAATCCGTTGGCATTCGCCAGTGAGTTAACGTAAACTCCCCCGTGTGATCAAATTGCGATTCCCAGGAACCATTACACCATAAAGGCACCATAGTGTGATTAATAAATATAATAGTGCGAATTAATAAATACCCCTCATAGCATCACCCCGTGTATTCGCACTTAACCATGTTCACCCTCGGGGAAATGCTTGGGAGTTTTTTCTTTTTTAAAGGTCAGAAGCCGGGTATGTAGTGTGACCTCAGCGCCCTTACAACTTTGGTTGTGACAACGGCCGACTTTGCTCCGCTCTCGCGGGTTCTCTTTCATGGTGCCCACAATAGTATACAACCCCCTCCTTGCCCCACTTTTTGAACTCTCTGATGCAGCATGATCAGACGCATCCGCATGGTGTCGGAAGTGGATGGTTAGCGACCGAGCAACGCAACCGACGGAGCCGTCGCACAGCTAGGTGACTCGACAGGCTGATCCGAGTTCCATCAGATCAGCGCATAGGAATGGCTGACACTGCTGCATGCGACCATTGCGGCAGTGACGAAACAACTTGGCACTTCTGTGTGAATGCCCACAATACTGCTCGCAGAGACAGTCACTCTGCAATGCACTAGACGAACTGGACAACTAGACTCTTTCGGTAAGAGGAATCCTGCACTACCGACAGGACTTTATGTCGCCGAAGAAGGCTGTGAAGGCGCTGCTCCGCTTCTTGCGTTCAACCGGCCTGTCCAAACGACTGTGATCAGAACACCATGCATGTGTGTGCATGTGATTTTTTTACAATTTATTTTATATCTATTTATCCATATCCTATTTCCGACCCTTATTTCCCCACCTCTGCACAGGGTAGCAAAGCAGTTCTTCTTGGTTAACCTCCCCGTTTCTTCCTTTTATTCATTTTTTTCTCTTGGCAGCAATCGCGCCTGCAGCCGGCTACCGCAGTCACTCTATATCTACGACCAACCCCGAGAACCCTGATCACAACGGTAGATGTTTGGCATAACTGGAAGGCAGGAAGGCAAGAGTTCGAGCTCTTCGCGACTAGCTGCTACAAAGCAGCAGGATAAACAGCGACAGGCAACCATCTTTTCCAATAGAAGTGAATGTGCACAATTAGTAGTGCTTTCGTTTAGGAACTGGAGAAAAAAAAACAAGATGAACCTGAAGCGAAAGTTCCAAGTGTTCTGCGAACCAAAGCTAGACCTATAACGCATTACGAGTTTTGGTTTGGAAAGCACGACCAAGAAGACCAGCGATTCAATGACTAGTTAACTCGGCTTCATGAACTTGGACAGCTGCGAATTCGACAAGTTGGAAGATATCATTTTTAACCAGCGAAATTTCTGAAAGGGGACACAATAACATTGAAGAAAAATTCTTTCAGGAAACATTCGTTTTGCCAAAAATGTTTTAAATCGTGAAGACTTCGTGTCCATAGTAAAAAGCAAAGCTAAGAAATTCGCCTCCTTGAATCAAATGGTTGGTCCGCAGTATGTTTGAATAAATAAATAAAAATTAATCTCCCGTGAACGGTCAGGTAGAAGTTATAGCCGTTTCCAAAAGCGAGTGAGTGTTGCAGGAAATGTGCATAATTTCCCAAGTTCCAGGAATCACAAGCAACGCAGGTGCGCCAAGTGCGTCAAGCTGCATGTAGAACCACGAGCCGCGAGACAGCAAAAGCTGGTGCCGCTGGAAGCTAATGCAGGCACACAGGTAGACGGCTTCTGTTTAAAAACGTCGTCGCAAAGCCATCAAACTAGGAAAAAAAAAGAATGGTCGCTCGGCTGCAGTACTAAAAACAGAAGAAACTTCCAACGTCTGCAAGCTCGAAACCGACGCAAACTGCTCCGTCACAACGCGCAGTGAACTGCAAAAGGTAACGAAACAACAACCCCCAAATTGCGCCGTCATTCCAAAAACAGTTTTAGTTTTCAGAAACAAACAGCGAAACGTAGTCGCCTTTGTGTTTGAAACGTAATTCAGAGTGGAAAACGAATTACCCCGTATTCTGAAACAAGCCTCAGCTCAAATACTCGCCTTCACTTGACCTAGCTGATTGATTGATTGATTGATTGATTGATTTATATATGGGGTTTAACGTCCCAAAACCACTATATGATTATGAGAGACGCCGTAGTGGAGGGCTCCGGAAATTTAGACCACAAGGGGTTCTTTAACGTGCACCCAAATATGAGCACACGGGCCTACAACATTTCCGCCTCCATCGGAAATGCAGCCGCCGCAGCCGGGATTCGAACCCGTGCCCTGCGGGTCAGCAGCCGAGTACCTTAGCCACTAGACCACCGTGGCGGGGCCCTTGACCTAGCTGAGAACAGCACCGCAGCTAAACTAATAATTGCTGCTGTTCTCCTGAAGTAACGCCACCATCGCTCACATGCAGTGAACATTTATACCGAAACGTGTATTTGCCAGTGTCATTTTATAGTTAGGGTAGAGCAGCCAAGTGAAGGCACGCTCTATAATACGAGTGTTCACTTTCACATGCTATAACGTCTATTCACTCAGCACTCCATCCTTGACTCGAGTATTCTACTTTTTTAAGCGGTGCTATATACTTTTGAGCGATAAGAAGGAATAACGTGAGTTCCCGACTTTTCTTGTAACTATACGTTTCCTATCCAGGATAAAAAAAAAAACGGGACAAACTCATAGTGAACCGCTTTCATAAGGACCATGTGCGACACAAAACACATTAAAAATGACAACGTAAACAGATGGATAAAATGATGCGTAAGTGGCTGCAAAAGCGTCCAGCTTTGTTTTTCTTTAGGCCGCTTACAATACTCACTTCACGTCCTGTAGTTTGTATTGTTTTTTTATGAGCGTTCTTTTGTGTACCTCGAAGCACTTACGAGAGTGAGCTCAAAATAGGCGCGCTGCAGCCTCTTTCAATGCACCAGTTTACCAGCGCTACGTCACAGTAGAACATATACAATCTTATAAACTGTCCTTATACAAGTTTGTTTACACGATTTCAACAACGTTGCAGTAAGCGTGCGAATAGTGAGACTTCATGAAAATTCATACAGCTGAAGCATTTAGTATTATCCACAATGAAAGACACTTCGAAAAACCCGAACGGCTTAGGTCCATCGCACTTATACCTTCATTATGTAACATTATGTCGAATACCTTATGACATGTCGCTGCAAAATTTATTGCGTTACCCAGAAATTGCAAATGACAGCGTGCGATATTTCCTCGCCTAAGTGCGCAGCTTTATGCAAGCGCGCGCGGAGCGTACATATCCAGAGCTGTAATCGATCGGCGCGAACTAAGAGTGGTCTGCGTTCTTGAAAACATCGTCTTGCAAGAAAAGCGTGGATTATGCGGGTACCACGTCTTGAGTATACGCCCGCACGAAGCAGCTGTTGGCTGCGAAATACGAGGCGTATACCCGTGGCTCTCAGCTTATGGCCCGGCAAGCCGATTTGGAAAAGCGTACCCGACGATACAAACATTTCGACGAAGTATAACGCAAACGCTATCAACGAGGGAGCTGTTGTGCGCAAAGCGATTATTTGCTCGTACGATATTCAAGACGGAGTCAATATCCGACAGACGTATGTTACAGAGTTGGGCAAAGAGGAAAACAGCTTTGTGTGAACACGTGCACGAACGCTATACCTGGTGTTTGCCCCCGATTCACGCGTCCCGTATGCACACAGCACGGCCCCCCAGAGTCATTCATTTCTTGGCGTATACTGCTTCGCTCCTTCGAACAGCGAGGACACACGCATGGTGCATGAAATTGGCAAAAATTGCAGGGGAGTACTTGCTCCTGGTAGGGTTGATAAGTTTATAAAGCATACTTTTCCGCTGAAGGGACGCGCACAGAAAAGAAAAAAGGACGATAACACGATCTGCTGCTATGTGTGCTTGCTTTCAGTAGTAAGTACATTTTCAAAAATTATAGTGCACTGCTGTGGAAGTAATATGAAAAGTGGCTTAGATGGCGGACATTCATTTTACATTATACAGCAGGGATAATCATTTAAAAGCCACTGCTAAGTTGGTAGATATATTACAAATTCAAATTTAAAAAAAAAATGCCGTGAGAAATATTTCGACAGAGCTGAAGCATCTCCTTTACACAAGCTTAACCATTCATAGACCCTCTCTGAGCATGTCTTTGAATTTTCGCATTACCGTTGAATATTAGTCAGTACATCGATCAATTCAAGGTATATAGAAGAGGGTGATTAGCTATATTGAAATACGAAATACCACTAGCGTTGGTGACTCATGCTAATGCCAAACACGCGTCCCTTCTGCTTTTTGCCACCGGCACCTCATATTTCTGTGCTGAGAATACCCCGAGGAGCACTTAAAATCTGACCTAGGTCACACGCATTATGTCGTTTAAACGAATAGTAGAACAAACACGACTTCGTTTGGTCGCCTCGAGCCATGTATTCCTAACTCCTTCAGGACTGCCTGGCTATAAGGCAATGGCACGTTCTTGCGTGTCTCCGCAAAGACGTGGATTGAGCTCCGTTCTGTTGGGGGGCAAATGTGCATGTATACTTTCCGCCAGCGAATAGAAGGTCGGAAGACCTTGCAGTAAATCGGCAAGTTGGGCCAGCGCGGTTGGTATTCATCGCGAACTTGGTTTACAGCGCAAAACCATAAACCCAGACACAAGGGAGGAGAAGCGCCGTCTTTTCTTTCTCTTTTGCTCCTTCCATGTGTCTGTATTTCTGGTCTCGCACCATAAACCAAGTTAACGATTAGTCTAAAGATCTATTACGTAATTAAGGGGTTGAGATGTAATTTCTCCGCTCCTTCCACCAAGTCGTTCGGACGAAAAGCACACCATTTGTGGTGACACCAGTTCTCGGCTTCTTTATAAGTCGTCTGAGCAGGAGTTATCCCCCTGGCCACTAGCGTGAACGAATAAATTTACCACGGGATCAGTCGATCTTCTATTACGTAGTGGCGCTGTGAAATAATGAAGGCTGGGTGGGTCTGTAGGTGCAATAGGGGCACGCGTCTTCAGCTTCTTACGTTTACGTGCACGAGCAAGATGGGGGTGGTTGTGTGAACGTGCGCATGAAGCAGTTAACCGACGACTTCACATCGAAAGTCCGGTCCGGATCCCTTGAGCTGCTTCTCTGTCACGTCCTTTGTCATGTGTGTTCACATTGAAAAGAGCGTTTTTGGTACCTGCCGCATGTCTCCGTTAATTAACGCCAAATTAGCAGTGTATATACGCCGCGTTCTATCAAATCGCTTTGTAAGCCGTACAACTTATCTCAACAGTATATTGCTGCAAAAAACAGGCAAAGGAGCGAAACGCAGCAATCAAGGAGGCTTAAGTGCTGCGTTGAGCTCGCCGAAAGAGAACATTACATACGAAATGCGCTAGCTTTTGCTGCAAAACGGTTAATCAATGCATTGATGAATTTCCTGTAATAAATGGTATTTTGCTGCTAGTAATACGTGTCCGGTCATTCAATGCTTCTGCCGAAACAAACAGATGCTACAGTAATTCTCAATAGTATCATGAATGACTACTTTTTAATACTACCGGCTCCAAACGCTTCAACGGAAAACAGCAGACGATGTTGATGAGGCCTTATTAGCATTTCTTTCTGTCGCCATAGTACATATGCCTACTTGGTGGGCAAGTAAGGCTATATATAGCATCGGTACATTAGGAATAACAGTTGATGCCTCACATGCGCTGCCTGACAAAAAAAAAAACCGCGACGCCAGCAACAAACGGACAGCATGCGTTGTAAGTGCATTGATGTCAGGTATGATCGCTATGTCATTACTATGCCTGACGGCTTCCTTAATGAGAATATCTCGATTAAAAAATCCGGAACTCTGCATAGGTTTAACAGTATTGTCTTCCAGCAGGCGTGGTTCACTGTACAGTAAGTTTGCGCATAAATACCCTATTTTGTCGTGGTTAGCCACAGGTGATTTTGTACTTGAGAACTTGTATTAGCCGCTATTATCATCTCACCGTGTTATTATATCAACCAAGCAACTCCCGTAGATAAAGTGTTTTCGGTGAGTGGTACATTAAACACGCAACGCTTTGGTGTGAATGGCAGGCTATACTTTCATCGCTGATAAAGCACCCGAATAAACAACCACCAATGCGTCTTCCAATTCCAATTCTGCATTAAAATAGATGATTTTATCAAAATATGCCATACTCCTGCTTTAAAATAGGTGTTTAACCAATCAAGCTAATCAGGTACGAAAAAGGTCTGCTATGTTCAGGCCATGTATACTAATGCCTTACTTTTGGACAATGGTTTGTATTGCAACCGCGGCTTTAATTCTTGCATGACAAGGGCCCGCGCACTCATCATGCATACGCACTCGCGTATAATACACGGAAAAGCATCAAAATAAGACGACGACAACAAAAAACACGCAGTAACATGAAATTAACAATATGACGCTTGAAATACAAGAAACGGCTTACCTCCGCGCACCTCGCATACGATATGCATGCTGACGCCTTCGTCATAAGGTGCGGTGACACTGTGAAGTACAACGCCACTCCCGTCTCGGATCACAGGGGCAGTCGGGGGCTCTGTTGTGGGAAGTAAGAAAATGCCAGAAGAATTGTGACGCCGGGAAAGAAGGGCCCAGTAGATACGAAGAAAGGTGAAATCGAGAAAAGTGAACCAGAAAAATGGTAAGCAGTTCACAGCTCTTCAGCGTAAGACAATTATTGGTTGAATTTTAAGGTTCTATAACCACCATATGATCAATATAATACACGATAATAAATTAATAAGCGCAAAATTATGCGCAGCTGATGACATATGCGTATAGTGCAAAAAGGCTAGAAGGAAGGAAGGAAGGAAGAAATAGAAGCAGAAGAATGGCAGGGAGATTAACTAGCCTATAGGCAGCCGGTTTGCTACCCTGCGCACGGGAGGGAGAGGGGGAGATGAAAGAGAGCAGAGAGGGAAGAGAGATAAACACAGCACATTCAGCGGCACACGCGCGCACACTCAGTCATAGTCCAGTCTAGAGAGAGAGATAAATAGAGAGGAAAGGCAGGGAGGTTAACCAAGCTTGGCTCGGTTGGCTACCCAGTCTAGAGGTGTCAATTATGGAGGCAGGGGGCTCACTTCCCCCTTTCATCTTAATTAAAGGATCAGGAAACAAAAAGAATACGATTGTGGGAAGGAAGAAGGAGCAGTTTTCACGCAAGGTCCTCATCATCACCTTCTTATTTCTTCGAAAACCACTTGAGTCGTGATTTTTTGCAGTTCTTGATAGGGAGCTCGAATCAAGCTAAGAGATTATCTTTATCGGGTGAGTCTTAAGCTGTTGTCAACCGATGCATGATGGACGTTTTCCTTCTTCCTATTCTTCTGTTTTTTTATCTGGCGTGGTCCTTCTTGAATATATTGTCACCGTTCGCGCATGAACGATTCGGAGAGGCTTAAGCTCGCTCCGCGACAAAAAATCGTGTGACGGCAGCTCATACATATACGTATAATCAGAAAAGCACGACGTATACTAGTTTGACGCAAGAATAACTACATATAATCAGTACTACTTGCTAAGGTTCAAGCTGTGCAAACATGTGCCGCCGTGGGCTATCCACTGAAAAATGTTTCGGCTGCATCCGTTTTCCCTCAAAGAGTAGTGAAGTGCGGGTATTCTCAGCGCGAATCGGCAAACACTGGCTCTGTTTGATCGCTTTCCACAGGATCGGACATACGAGCCCTTGTGCACAATGCCTACCCAAAGGTCAAATCCCTGGAGTATTTGCGGCGGCGTCTTCACGCATTTTAGGTTTGCACTGTGCGTCTGCACTCGTCCTCAATGTGAGGGCAATGGCCCCACAGGGCCGACCCAGCGCAAATATCGTAGCGGTTGAGAAATAAAAATTGTTTTAGATTTGTACTCCAGTACCGCTTCTTGTCCAACGAAACGATAATGCCAAATTCATGCTGCGTTTACGGCGCCTGCTTTTGAGTACGGGAATTAGGAAAGACGGGTTGCGTAAGAAAGCACTAGTCAAAACAGTAGAAGAAGGAACTATATTTTTATGCCGCATCCAGTAAGTTGTTGTCAATAAGCAATGACTGTTCTTTGGCTGAGGGTCAGGACAACGACCAGCAATGCAGTCCAGCAATGTATTTAACAAAAATCATGAACGCTTTTCAAATAAAGCAGGGGAACATTGACTATAATAACGGCGTGGGCTGTTATGGCGTTCATGTAAGTTTTCGAACTATTACCCACAGATAAACCCCAACCTCTATAATTGAATCGCTTGTCGCTAAAAGGGTGCGCCCACGAATTAAATGCTAAGGTGTACGGATCGCACTCGTCATCCGCTACTACGGCAGCATGATTGTCGACCACATTAAGAAAAATCACTGAAGTCAGTCTCGCACAATTATTTTTCAAAGTCAAGGACGCCACCCCGTGCTAAGAACACAGTACACGTGACGAAGGCAAATACATGGCGATTTCCACCGAGCGTATGCACTTAAGTGTTGCCAACGGTAAGAAATTATAGCCTTGTCGGGTGATTTCGGGATTTTTCGGCCTCCGTATAGGGTAATGCAATCTTTTTCGGAAACGTACAGTAATTTTCACATTTCACTTGTTGAGGATCAAGTAAAAACGTAGACGATCCGAGTGATATTTCTGAGGGCTACTGTCTTAAAGAGATCTAAAAATGTTCTTTTAATAAAATCGTAGCTGTCGTTCATTTTCATATCGCCAGCAGGGCAGGGACGAAAAATGACATGGCGTGTTAGTATTACTTTTGTTCTTTTTTCTCATCCATATTTTTTAACTTGAAATTGTTTTATTCTGAGGTTCACCACGGATACGCGACACGTTTCCATCACGGATGTGACGTTTTAAGATATTTACAAACAGATTTTAGGGAAAAAGTTGGCTCCGTATCTGCATGTTTCACTGCAAATGTCGTTGAAAGCCGATAGTCTTGAGTGTGGAGAGAGTGAACAAAATTTTCATTTGATGTTCTGCGCGATAAAATCGGTGAATTTTATTCTGGAAGCGCTGCGTTAGAGAGTCACGATCCGTGCGGCGAAGGCGAACGAGCGCATCGAGGCACGTTTGACACTAGCGCTATCTGGCAGTTACCTTTGAAAACGAAGCAAGGCATGCGCGCCCACGGAGAAAGACGCGCGCCTGTCTCGGGGGCGATGAGGTGGAGAACGCAAAGCGACGGGCGGGTGCCACCACCGTGTCGTCTTAGCAAAATCTTGGAAACACTTGCATTTTTCAGCATCACGTTGCACTGTCAGCGCAGCGTGATAAACGCTACGGTCCTTAGAATTACATGTGTGTGGTTCTCTAGTATAAATCCAGACATACAAAATATTGACGTATTGTTATGGGGCCTCAGATATGCTCAATATTTGTTTTTTTAATTGACAATCGCACAAGTATCAACGCTGAAACTTGAGCAATATTAGTTGGCGCTGCGGATGAGGTTGGCCACCCATTTTCCAACAAACTGGAGAAAATGGCCGCTCGGCGCTTCTACATGTTGAGGAGACCGTGTTGCACCCACTATGGGCTTGGGCTTCGGTGCCATGATCACTTCGTCGTGCTTCCACGAGGCAGGTAGCTCCCCCCCCCCCCTTTATTTTTTTTTCGGTCCCAGCAGTCCTCGTACTGCTGGAGGAGAGCAGTGAAGGCTTTATTTGACAACTCTCGAAGGTGTCAAACAAAGCCTTGAATATGAAGAAACATAGAAATAAATGGAAATAAAGAGAAAAAAATACAGGAAAACTGTAACCTACGAAAACGAAAAAGAGAGCAGGAAAGAAAGAAAAAAACCGAAAAGAAACGAATAAAGCTTCCCAGCTCCGCACTTGCTTCAGTGCGTAGCTGCCTTAATTTTTTGGTATACTCACTCGTCCGGTCACAATTCTTCATTATACAACACAAAACAAAAGTGACTTAACGTTTTTAAATATGCACGACATTTCACACTTCATTCTTCCGCTTTATTATTTTTTTGTATTTCAACTTTCTACGATTATTAACCATCGTCGACGTCGGCTGGTGGTCCGGGTATCTTGATGCTGTACGTTTCAGCCCGATTCGAAGCCTCCAGAATGCTCATCTGTCAGAATAAAGCAGCTCCGAATAACAGGAAACCGTGCTACTTTCTGCGTGCACGATATTACAGATGGTGTGACGGCAACACGACAAGGCTCAGTTCGTCCTCCATTGTCGTCCTCCATTACCCGAATTTGTACTTGCTCCCCGCTTTGCTCATTACGTCTTGATACTGTCATTCGGGAGCTGGCCCCGTTTTTTCGTGGTCGATGCACAAATCCAGCAAAAGAGAGGAGGAGGAGAAGGAGGAGAAATAAACGTTTATTTTCGAAACGGTGTAGCGGTGTAGGTTCTGCGTTCACCTTAGGTGGGAGGGCTCCTAAAAACTAATGGTAATTATCCGTTGTTCGATTTCTCCTTGTCATGGCAACGAATACATTGATGTGGATAAGAAAACGGCAAAGAAAAAGAGAGAAGCTCAGTCTGCTAAGAGAGCCTGGCATCACACTCCGAGCTACATGAGGCACCGACATTCGCGAGGGCATTATTCAGCCATCAAGGTTCATTTACCAACTCTAATGCGCACTGCGCTGATCTCTTTACATAATGAAAATTGCGAGACTTGCCAACGTGGTTCATGGTAGCGAATTTAGTCACTCCGCAGATCAACCAGAATCGCTGTGCATGCACTTAGCCATTAAGCGATACTATCCTTCGCTTCGTGCACAAAGCTGAACTGTATAATCACATGTCTCGTTTCGATACCCAGGGCAAATTAACGTTCACACACAAACAAACACACACACAAACACACAAAGAACCTCTATGTAGGCTCGTACGGGGGGCTCATTGGTGTGTCGGTGGTGTGTCACGTGACCTGTTCCTGTGTCCTGGCCAAGAAGAAAAGAACATGGTGCGTTTTTTTTTTCTTTGTTAGACACAATATCAATAAAAACTAACTGAAAATCATTCCAAAGAAAATGTAGGGGTTGTTATACATATACAGATTGGGGTGTTATACATATACATTTCATTTCATTTATTTCATTTATTTTCTCTCAATGAACAAGGCGTTACAGAGAGGAGTGGTGGAAAAACAAGTAACAATCTGCACAAACAAATGGAGCATGTTTAAAAAGGGTATGCGTTTATGGTACTCTTGAAGTTGGCCGGGTCAGTGATGGATGCGATGGAAGCGGGAAGGTAATACCAGTCCGTAGCTTGTTTTGGGCACGAATGAATTAAAATGGAGGTTTGTACGGCTGCTTGTAATTCCAACTTTGAAGTGGTGATCGATGCGGGATGAAATGTAGGATGGCGGCAAAAAAGCGAGTTACTCAGTGAGTGCATGGTATGGTACAACTTGTGGAAGAGGCACAAGCGCGAGATTTTGCGGCGAAATGATAGGCTAGGTAGATTTAAAGTTGACTTCATATGGGTTACGCTTGCGGTACGGGAATAGTTCGACAAAATGAAACGAGCGGCGCGATTTCGAATTGCTTCGATGCTACTGATATGGATGTTTACGTGGGGATCCCATACAGATGATGAATATTCTAGCTTTGGTCGGACTAATGTTTTATAGAGCAGAAGTTTCAGCTGCATCGGGGCAAGGGAGAAGTTACGGCGTAAATAACCAAGTGTGCGGTTAGCATTGTTATTAATAAGGTCAATGTGAGACTGCCAGGAAAGGTTGTCAGAAATTGTAACGCCAAGGTACTTGTAAGAGCTAACTTTAGTAAGGAGAGAATTAATAAGTACGTAGTTAGTAGAAATATAACATGTTCGACGTGAAACTCTCTTTACCTTGCATTTGGTAACATTAAGGTTTATTAGCCAAGTATCCCACCAAGATGAAACATTGTCTAAGTCACACTGAAGGGCAAGGTGGTCAGAAGGGGTTTTAATTTCGCGGTAAATAACACAATCATCGGCAAAAAGTTTAATAGAAGAAGAGATGTTATGTGGCAAATCGTTAATGTAAATCAGGAAGAGTAGTGGGCCAAGAACGGATCCTTGGGGGACGCCAGAGGTTACGGGTTACGGGTTACATTGTAATGTATATGTATAGAAAGAAAAGTGGACGAAATAATCACTTGCCCCCAGCTGAGACCGTACATGTGACCTTCAAAGAACGCGTCCGATGATCTTCCACTGAGCTACGGCGGTGGTCATCCTTCCGTCCACCTCATAGGGTATAGATATGCATTTAAACGTGGAAGCGTCAGTCAGCCACGCCAGTAGCCATTACAGTGAGGGCGAAGTACTCTTCTGCCTGATGGCGGCATGTAGAGCGTGATGTTAGCACGAGCTGGCAGATGACCAGTAATCCCTTGCAATCTACCTGAAGGCATCAAGTCTGCCAGAACAAGACCCTCGCTATGAATCAAGGGAAGAAGTGTACAATGAAGCCCTCGTTTTGTTTGTTAGACACAATATTGATGAGAACTAACGAACAAGAGAAAGAGAGCAGCAGTGAGGAAAGGCAGGGAGGCATTGATGCCAAAGAAAGTGCAGGGGGTGCTATTAGTAGTTGTTGTTATGTAAATGTGAAAAAGAAAAGTGGACGAGGTCCTTGCCTGCGGCAGGTTATCTTTCCATCCACTTTTCTTTCTTCGCATTTAATTACATCTGCTACTAATAGCACCCCATGTATGTATACTTTCTTTCGAATGATTGTCTCCTAGTTCTCACTATTCTGTTTTTGCCGGTACGTTTGGCAGGAAACCCTCCGTACGATGTGCAACCAACCAGCCCAGGTAAGCACTATTCTTCGTAGGATGCCCAATACGTATTAAGCTCTGGCACGTAGAGAGACAGAAAATGATAATAGAAAGGCAGGGAAATTAACCGGGGCTCAGCCCGCTTAGTATACATCTCTAATGCTTGATGGTGGGCCAACAAACTTACTCGTAGTCGAAGGAACGAACGCACCTCTGTATGTGATTCGCAGTATTTTCAAATATTGTGAAGTTGCGGGCTGTTTGTGGTAGCTTATTCTGTAGAAAGAAAGTGAGACAGAAGACAAGCTAGGGAACGGCAGGAATTTTAATCAGACAAGCGTGTGGTTTGGCGCTCTACACTTGGGGTAAGGGAATGAGGAAAATATGTAGTGAAAGGGGGAGAGAGTAAAAACTGGGCGCTATGTGGGATGGCCCGAACTTGGTGAAACACTGGATCTTTCCAAGCACTGGCGACACCCACCCTTTGAACGCGCCAACAGTAGGAAAGGTCAAATTCACCCCTCAGTGCAAGCTGCGTTTTATTGATTACGATAGAACGCAGCGTCACGTCAAGGACGGTCGACAAAGTTAGGTACTGTTTTCAAACCAAAGGTATCTTCTTTCATTTGTTTGTCGTTCCAATGAGGGCAGAAGTGCATCCATACAATAGATGAGTCAGAAACATTTGGTCATCGTACACTTTAAAGCCACGGGCTGTTTAACTTTATTTTGAAGCTTTTAATGTGTGCACTAAGTATATTTTAATATAATGAACATGGTGGCCTCTGTTATAAGTTTTTGCCAAGCGCCTTGCATTATCGTGACCATTGCTAAAGCCGAGGCCGCGTGTATAATTCTCATGGTGGTCCTGCAGATTCTGATGCTGATGACCTCAGATGGATGGCGCTCACCCACAGAGAGGGATGGGCCAAGAACCGGGAGGCAGGATACTTAAATGAAATTAAAATGAAATTAAAGCCAATCTGAAAAATTTGTTTGAGGATAATACAGCCAATAAACAAAAATGTTTGCTGAGCAAGCGGTCAAACCATCTCTTGTTCCTGACAGACATCGCTACAAATTATGAACTAAATATCTGAAAAGGTTAGGGTTCGGTAGCAAGGTAATCTTTTAGTTGCAATGATGTAATCTAACACAGTGGAGCATATATCCCTGTGGCAGTAACCAAATGAAGTGCCGCCAACTGATAAAAGTACTGGTAGATTTACTTGTATTCCTGGCTTTTGTAATGAGGCTACTAAAAATGTTTTTCTCTGCCCCTATAAAACGAGGGTAGAATCCTTCAGGACCCCAATAAAAGTTTTTCATCCATCCATCCATCTGATAAGAGCAACGACGACAGAGTAAAAAGAAATGTTCAATTGTTACAATTTAGTTGCAAAAAATGCACAGCGGTGACGCCTTGAGTCGAGCTTTGTTAAGGTAATAATTTAGTTGTGGAACTGCACAGCACAATCTGGTATAAGGGACCTCTAACTGGCGATATACACACCACTATTTATTCCAGCAATACCTTAAACGCTCGAAATCTCTAAAGTTATCCAAATTACCTATTCCCCATTGCAAACAAGCATTTCGGAACCTTAGCGCTGTCACGTAAGCCGTATCTGGCAAAACTGGGATGGTGGGCCCACTCAGCGATATTGCTGCTAAAGAGTCTGCCATTTTGTTTAAATATAATCCGCGGTGGCCTGGTACCAGTAGCAAATGCAGTTTCTTTACGTTTTTCGGTACTAAATGCTGAAACGTATTCATCAGCTCTGCATTTGCTGCCGCAGAAAGTGCATGACATACTGATAACGCATCTGTAATGATAACTGCTAATGATTCGCTTGAGAGCGATTTGCGTAGGGAAAAAACAATAGCCAATAATTCTAGTGCCGTGCTCGGCCGGCACCTGCCCTCTTCGCCGTATTCATTGTCTGCTAGCTCCCCGAGCTCGTGCGGCTCGCTAATTAGCTAACTGGCTGGGCGGTATACTTGGCTTGTTAGGTCGAGATATATATGACCAAGCTAATGAACTCGTCATGATAAGGTCGCGATAATTAGTCCACATATTAATAGAACCGTGCTAATAACGCCATGTAAAGCCGTGATTGTTCTAAGACTTCACGAATTAACACGATGGTAATTATAAAAAAGCTTAATTAAAGCTACGCTAGTAAACCTTTCTAATACGATGCTAACTAGGCACGAGCTCACGAGGATATGTTGATTAGCTCCATACTAATGAAGGCCCCGCCACGGTGGTCTAGTGGCTAAGGTACTCGGCTGCTGACCCACAGGTGGCGGGCTCGAATCCCGGCTGCGGCGGCTGCAT